ACTCATGGACTAAATGAAATGATTGATTAATATGAATTAAATAATTTGAAGGACAATATGTAATGGTAAATAAGTATTTATATACTTGATTTGAACTTGGTTTGCTTTTTTTAATTTCAATAATTAATGACATTCTCTATACTTACATGCTGGACAAATTATTAATGCGAATAAAATGATTTGAATGGTAATACATAATGGTAAATAAGTATTTATGTTCTTGATTTGTCACTTTTACTTTTTTAATTCCATTATTAATAAATATTCTTAGATGAAATAATTTATGCGAATGAAATGATCTGAAGGGCAATACGTGATGGTGAAGAAGTAGGAATCAATAAATGATGCATAACTATACTCTATTAGTCCTTATGTTGTTTTGATAGTATAGTCAAACCTCTAATGCCCTGCAGGAACCAAATTTTAGCAATGAACAGTAAAGAATTATGCATTTATCGAAGTCACATATATATTTTGGTCAGAATTGGTAGTTGTATATTTAGAGAGGCTTTGTATATATTTATTTATAATATTAGTATTAGATTGTTTTCTCGAATATACTATCTATAAATAGTTAAAATTTATGCATTTGAATAATGCTATAAATAAATTATTAAAAAAACAATATACAATAAATTATTAAATAAATTAATTGTCATCACGCAATAATGTATCATATGCAATTAAATTGATTAAATAAATAAATAAATCATTTTATTATATCAAATAAATTAATAATGTATAAATCGATTGATATAAGTAAATATCAAAATCGCAAGGATAAAAAAGTAAAGATTAAATTAATTCGATCCTAAAAATATGCATTCAAATTCGTAATGATAAAGATAAAATTAATTTGAACTTAAGGATATAAATATCAAATTCGTGATGATAAAATTAATTAAAATATAGTTAAGGAGCTCAGCAAATTAGCCCCGTAAGTTTGTGAGAAGGGGTGCCTACTAATGATATGCATGCCAAATTCGTAACGATGAAATTAAAGATTTTTTAATGTATTCTAAAGAGATATGTACTAATTCGTAATAATAAAAAAATAAAAATATTAAATTAATTTGATCATAGTTGTATGCATGCCAAATTATAATAAAAAAAAAAAAACTCTCGCTGTATGCCAACACTTCGAATATCTATTAAAAAATAAATTATCAATGGCAATTTTTCTATAAAAGAAGTGCTATATTACCTTCGTTCTTCATATTGATATTTGTTTTCAGCTTTATTTTAAATTTCTCCTAATCCACCTTTCTTATTTAATATCGTATGTTTTTTTTTCTTTTAATTTGCCTTTTCTTGTTTAACATATCAAATTACTTTTTTTTTCTCCTATTCACCTTTCCTCGTTTGACATATTGCATTGCTTTTTTTTTCTAATCTACCTTTTATTGTTTAACTTATTGAATTGTCTTTTTTCTAAATTAAAAAAAAAAAAAATGTCACAAAATGAAGAAATAGTTTTATCTTCACTTATATTAGTAAAAACTTATAGCGATATCTATTTTAAAACTCAAGATACGGAGCAAGCTGTTCAATTTTTTGATAACCTCGGCATTTTACCTCGAATGCTTTTCTGTAAAAAATGTAAGAGTCCTATGCATAGGTCAAAAGATCATTCTCATAAATATGAACAAAAATGGGCCTGTACTTCAAGAACCGCTTGTGGTTATGGACAAACTCTAAGATCGAGAACTTGGTTAGAAAATTCCAAATTGTCTCTTGTACAATTTGCTAAGATTATGTTTTGCTGGTCCCATAAATTACCTCAAAAATTTGCCATCTGCGAAACTGATGCTAGTCCTCAAACAATGGTAGATTGGTATAACTTTTGTTGTGATATATGCAGCGTGGCATTAATGAATCAAAGTGATGAAAAAATTGGTGGTGAAGGAAAAATTGTAGAAATTGATGAAAGTCTATTTGGTAAGCATAAATATAATAAAGGAAGCAGAGTAGAAGGTTAGTATGTTACAAATTGTTAATTTTTTCAATTAATTAGTTAATAATTTTTTTAGATGTACTAGTTGCAACTAATCGATTAGTTGATATCTAAAAAGTTTAATCGATTAGTTGTCAACTAATAAACTAATCAATTTTTCTAACCTTCAATTTGTAACACTACAGGTCAATGGGTTTTCGGAGGAATCGAAAGAGAATCAAGCAAAATGTTTTTGGTTTCAGTTCCTAATCGTTCAAAGGAAACATTAACAAAATTTTTAGTGGAATATGTAGAAAAAGGAACCACAATCTATAGTGATTGTTGGGCTGCCTACCAGACTGAAGATTTCGAAAAGCATAGATAGAAGCATGAAACAGTCAACCATTCAAAGCATTTCAAGGACCCTGAAACGGGGGTTCATACGAACACTATTGAATCAACTTGGCGTGCAGTAAAATCATCCCTTCTACAAAATGGAACTGTTAAAGAATTATATGATTCATATTTTTTAGAATATATGTGGAGGCGACGGTTTGTTCAAAATGATAGTAATGCATTTAACTAACTAGTGGAATATATAGTATTATATGGTAAAAAATTAAAAGAGGTAATTAATACTTTTAAATAAAATAAATAAAACAAAAATTTAAACTAATTAATTCTTACCTTTTAAAATAATTTTAGATTCCTCCAGAGTAATTCAGTAAAATAAAATCGAATTTAATTTTTCATTATTAATTATTATTATTTCAAAAAAATGAATTTATTAATATTTAAATTATATATCATATAAAAAATTGCAATTATATTAAATTACCTCATAATTAACAAACAATAGATAGACCCAATTACTTAGCTAAATAAAATAAATAATAAATAAATAAATAATAAATAAATAAAAAATGCAGTTAACTAATAAATAATTAAAAAAATCTTAATTAGAGAAAGATTAATAGTCGACAATCTGATAAAAAAATCTCATTAATAAAAAACTAATCAAATCCAAAAAAATTAGATGCTACTTAATGAATCGCACTAAAGCTTTACCTTTTAGCAATTTATCTTACGATAACTCTTATTTCGTTGATATTTACATGATTTCACTGTACATACCATCAATATAGCACATCATTTCTTAACCCGTCATTTAACTAAGAAATACAGTGATGGGCTATCGATTACTAGAATTCGAATAGAAAAGATTTGGTTAATGTTATTAAAGCATCCAGGTGTTTCCCAAATACAAAAATATGAACAGACTATATTACCCAAAATGAAAGAAAAATGAATATCGCTCAGGATCAAGAAAATTAACATGGATAAACAATTATTTAAACGATTAGGAAAAAAAAGATGTCTGATATAAAGAATAAATACTTTAATAATAGTTCAAGTGAACAACACTAACAAAAAATTTAGCTTCACTACCTGACACTTGTTTTGCATTTCCGATTTCAATCAAAATCTTAGCACTGAATGATTCAAAATAACAAAAGAAATTAAAGCTGACATAAAAATAAAAATAATTTAGTAATAGGTGTAAAAGAATACTCAGCTTTGCTGCGACAATTTACAATTCTAAAAAGAGAATGTTAGCTTGAACACAAAAACAAAGAAATAAAATTAAAAAAAAAAAAAAAGCAGAACAAAGTTGCCTAACTTAATCACACTAACAAAAGTTGAAAACTTCTTGTGTTAGTAACGACCATGAGGTAGAATTAATTACGACATAGTACGCCGTAACAGGTAATATTATATGCCGTTATGACATTACGGATCCAAAATTTGATGCATCACGGTTACACACATCAGCATATATTATGTGTTATGTAATTGATACGCACCACCTGATTTTGTTTATATCTTTCTGGCCAATCAAAATTAGCAGGTAATTATTTTGAGGGTGACACAATTCGCAATAATCACTGAGTTTAGTGTTCTTGAAACTACCCCCAATTGGCACTGGTAAATGGTCCAACACGAGCCATAAATCCGTGCTACTTCGAACCTCTTACGTACAAAATCCTGGTTTGATTTGTGCTACCAAAACCCGTGCCATTCCGAGCTAACCCATACAATTACAGTACATTTTTCTTATAGAGATAGAGAATAGATAGATATACAGTACATAAAGTGGGTAAATAAGATATTTATTACTAATAAATCCAAACTATTAAAGAATCTACCATATCAGATATAAGATATAAATTAAACCTATTAAAACTTTAACTATTAATTCATGGTTGACAAGCTCAAATACACTAAAAGAACTAACCAAATTTAAATATTAAGCCTGGATCTTTTTGTTAAAGAGCTTGTATCTATTCAAATTAAACAGTTAATAATAAAGTTTATTTAAATCTAACGTAATAAAATAGTTTTAGACGAAAACATTTCTAAGCAATTTCTATTGTTTTTGTTTTCTTCGCACGTGGTCACAGTGATCAGCGGGAAGAGTACCTGATAATTAGATTTATTAATATATGCTAAGGAAGGTATTTTATTCTATAAAGTATGGTAATATCAAAGCATCTTTTAGTGATATTATTTTGCACTTATACAATAAATTTTATTAGTACAAATTAGAAATGGGTTTGGTCAGTTATGATTGGTTATTATTAACTAGTTGCTTATAGTTAACCAAGCCATGGCTTAGTTATTAGCTAAATAGCCAGTTATAGCCTATAAATTATTTAATTAGTTGTTTTTGATCTTTGTCAAAACAGTCTAATTCTGATCAAATTACAGATAATTTAGCCTAAAAAACCCAGGCCAAATAATCAGCAAATTTGACCAGAATTAGATTGTTTTGATGTATCCAAATTTGAATTTTGATTGGACAAAAATTATTTGTAGATCTCATCACCTGATCAAAATTGACCAGATTTAAAAATTGGTTTGGTCAAGATCTGAGCCAAATGATCTGCGAATTATGAATAATTGTTCCTCTATTTATCAAATGGTGTAGATCCGCTAACATAGTCTCATATCGGATTAAGTTTTAATTATCATTTTTATTAGCCAGAATATTAAAAATCTGAATCGACTACAATTTTAGCCGGTCGGCTAAATATCGACTACGACTAATAGTCGTAACCGAACCCATCCCTAGCACAAACTCCAATGATCTATTATAAATTTCCGATACTTAACAATAAATGAGGAAAGATTCATAGCAGGGCCAATTATTTTTCTGAAGTGATATTTATTTTTAAGAATAAATGAATTTCATCACAGAAAGTTATCGGTCCTGATTTATCGGCAATTATTACTAACATTTATGTTTTTTTTTTTTTTTTTTTTTACTTCTGCTTATCCCTATGTGTTAATTTTAAAGCAAGGAATGCGAGTATAGCCCACCCAAGTGCAATGCGGAAAATATAATTCAAACATGCAGAATAATCATCAAAACTGTAGGTAAATCTTAATTTTTCATCTTTAATTTCAGTCCATCTATTATAAAAGTATTAAGAATGTTATAAATTGATATAAGTAAATAAAATCAAACATGTTACGATAAAAAAGGATTATATATAATGCATACATCCTAGGAGCAAGTTCTTTAAGATATAATGCTTCAACAGTCCACCGTGGTGTTGAAATCTGCATAATATTTATATTTGTAAATTTTTTAAATATTATTGTAATAGTTAAAATAGGAAAAATACTTACATCCCATAACCATCTTAAAGGTTTATATCCATCATCATTTTCAACATCTTGTAATTGAGGAGATCCACCACTGAAAACTAAACCCCAAGAAAGCGCAAATCCTGTAGTTACCAATCCAAACTTTTCTTTTGGAACCACAATAGATATAAAATATCCTATATTCAAAGTAATTAAAATAATTATATTATAACATAATCTTTCAGTTTGTTAAATTTTGATTTGAATATATACATACCCATCATCCATGCAGATATATAAGTAAAAAGAACAATACCATATACCTCAGAAAATTGAGCTTGAAATGGATAAAATATAATAAGCGACAATGAAAACATAAGAGCAGCGATAATTATACGAGGAATGTCGGCAACAATTTTGGCCACAAAGTATGGAATTGTACTCATTCCGGCTGAAGCATCGCGCCAGTAAACTACTATTTCGTAGCCGAACGTAGAACATCCAGCTAGGAATGATTAATTATAGAGGTACGTACGTAAATAATCAACATATCTGATATGCATTCCGCGTATTACATAGTTTTAATTAGAATAAATATTATACCACTGATTCCAGCAAATGTAACACCGAGTGCCACAAATGTTCCAACGTTCTAAACAAAACATCAAAATTAAAAGAAAATTTATAAATTGATGGATAATTTAAGAGTTTAATTTACCTGGATAAAATCAGAAGAATTTGTGCAAGAGTTCATCATAACGAATGGAGTATATTGACAGATTTGTTTAGGTGGCTTTCCAATATATTCGGAATTGGAAATAGCCAATGAAACAAAAATTCCACAGACAAGATGTAATATTTGATCAAACAAGAATTGAGATGGCCTTCTATAAGCTTGTGCGAAAGCTCGTCCGAGTAATAAAATAAATGCATAAATTATATTTGGAGTATTTCGTATTTCATCATTTAGGCAAAATAATGATCTAAATACGCTTTTAAGGAATAAGTAAATCTCTAAAATCACGTCAACGATATATACGCGACAATCATCCAATATGTTAATGAATCTATCTTGTACTGAAAGTTTATTTATAATGGTGGATCTTCTTGCAAAACCATCTTTAAATGCTTGTTTCATTATATATTCTTCTGGGCTATAAATAAATAAACAATAAATTATAAAACTTTTTAAATGACATTGCAAATGAAATTATACCCTTCTTCAGCCCCTCTTGGATTGCGAGTAATGAAGTCTTCTATTACACAATTTGTGTCTCCATAAAACTCGGATTTTCCTTCTTCATTCAAAATCAAAACATCATCAAACGTTTTAAAAACTTTTTGAGATGGTGAATGGATGATTGCCACTACAGTTATATTTTGTATTTTAGCAATATATTTCAACATTTTGCATACTTTATATGCCATAACTGAATCAAGTCCTGAGGTTGGTTCATCCTAATATCAAAGATTAATTTATAAAATAAATATAACAGATAACTAAATATAAACAAAAATTCTGCATAATTACCAAGAAAAGTATGGATGGTTCGGCAACTAATTCCATTCCAATGTTTACACGTTTACGTTCTCCACCAGAAATACCACGTTTTTCTGTTCATATTTATAATATAGTGCTTGTTAACGAAACTTGTTTGTGTGCCAGAGTTGCATTTAAAATATTTACCCTCATCTCCGATTTCATCATTAATTACATGATCTAATTTTAAAAATTTAATTACTTCCATTGCTTTATATTTTTTATCAGCTTCTGTCATGCTAGATGGCAAACGCATTAACGCCGAATGCTATTAAAAAGGCAACATAAGAAATACAAGCAAACTTATTTTTACTTTTTTTTCAAACTACTGTTTAAAGACAAACAAGAACAGTACCACTAAGTTTTCTCGAACTGTTAATTTACGGATCATTATATCTGTCAAAATTATACCATATTGGTGTTTTAATATACTTATAGTGAATATCATAAAATTAGGGATTCAGATTATGAACCTTCCTGTGGTACAAAACCAACGAGTTTTCTATATTTTTCCAGAGATCCTTTTTTACCATTAACTGTTATTATAATTTATGATTTCATAAGTACACTTCATAAAGCATAAAATGATGAATATATATATAAAAAAGGCTAATTAACCTATTAAATCTCCTTCTGTTTCATGAATCTTTCCAGCTAAAACTGATATTAAAGTGCTTTTACCGGAACCTATTTGGCATAACATGGTCATCAACATTAGTATAAAAACTTTACATTTCTACATATATGATGGGAAAAAATGATTGTCATTAACCTGATGGGCCCATAATTGCACAAGTTCTTCCAGGTTGAAATATTCCTGAGATTCCCTTAAGTATTTAAAAAAAAGTAAATTATAATGGAAAATTTACAAAAAAAAAAAAAAAAAAAACTTACATTCAGAGGTGTTTTACCATTGCGTAACCTTAATATTAAATCTTTAAACTCTACAGTGATCTCAATAGATTTTGAAGTTCGCTCTCGCAAAAGATTTGCTTTATCTTGTTCTGCAAGTCTTTTCAATATATCATCGTATTCCGCTTTTTTTTTTTCGATTAATCTTTCTTTACCATAAAACAACCCGATAATCACGACAATCAAAACAAACACTATTAAGATAACAAAGTACTTGTTTTGTTTTATCGAGCCAGCAGGGCAGATTGCAAGTGAACAAGGCTCTGGGTTAATTGTACCAATGGTACAAAAATGACCTGGAAGTTGAAATGTGATAAAATGATGAGCACGTAAATAAACTATAATAAGAGCCTGCATTTTTTTTTACCTTCGGGGCATAGGCTTATTCTTGTTGCATCTTCAGAACAATAGAATCCTTCGCAACAGTATACTGGTTGTGCTGTATTAAAAAAAACAAGTATCAACAAACGTGTACTATATTAATTGGAAAGTCTTTTACGATAGGGTGATTCAAAATAACTTATTCGAAAATAAATCCCATTTCTGTTTTGAAATTCCGAAATCAAAAAGCGAATGAATGTATTTTTCTGATGATATATTTATCGTCATGTAAAAAAAATAGAATTTATAAATCACTTATTTAAAAACAATACGTCACTAATTTAATTCAAAATCAGAAACTCCACATTAATTTTGAATCACCCTAATTAAATTCTGATCTAATGATAATAAATTCACTATAATGAATTTTTTAAAAAATTATTATAGGGTTTATATAGAATATAAGAGATTGCTCTATAAGAAATTGTCGAATGTTGTTCGTTATAAAAAGTGTCGACTGTATTTGCTATGTATTCTTAAGTCTCGATCATTATACAAGGAATAGTCTTTCAAACAATCACTTAAAGCTTACCAGAATTTTCAGGACAAAAAAATCCAGGAAGGCATTTAAATGTATTATTGGAGCTGGGACAAAAATAACTATGCAATATAAATTCGAAATTAATTAATGCTAATACTAATCGTACTAATCCTAAATAGGCAGCTACTGTGAATAATCAACATAGTTAAATACCCAGCAGGACAATTCCAAGCAATTAATTGTCCATTAATTGTGAGATTATTTTCTCGTTGGGGCGTTGAAATGTAGGAGCACATTTGGCCATTTACATTTTCCTAACAAAAGTATTAAAAAAAAAAAAGAATTTTTTTTTTATGAAGTTTCACATGAATTCTCTCACATTCAAATGTATTAGTGCACATTAGAAAAAAAACTTTGTTGACACATTACTCCTGCATTATAATATATTTTATTCGTTATTATTTTTGTAGAATAAAGTATAGGGTCTAATAATGATATTGTATCCATTATTAAATTTGAATTTTTTTGTGAAAATAAAGGAGTTGGCCAAATTACGATGCATAGTGAAAAAAGAAATATTGGACGAAATAGAGCGAATTGATTTGAAACTCTCATAATTATACTCAATTAAGATGCATGAGGCAAGAAGAAATAAAAAATATCAGCATTTGTTGAAGATTTATAAAATTTGTAATTTCCTAATTTACACATACGGAAAATGTCTCCGGAAAATAATTAAATTTATCGCTTTCATTTCTTAAATTCGGAACCTTAATTCACAAATAGAATATGTATATTTGTCTTTTCGATTATTAAACCTATTTTGCTTACATACGTACGTACATATGTATTTTTCCTTGATACAGTATATTTTTTAATCCATATTACAAGATCGGAAAAATGTAATACCTATTATAAACCTTAGTAAAACGTATTACTTTCCATATTTTGCAGAGTGTAACACGTAGACATAAGATTGAACTTATTCAAAAGGCTTTTTATTATTTTTGATATTTATTTTTATACCAGATACCAATGCGATTCTTGTATGATATATATCAAGTAAAATTTACATACAATACGTACTATACATCGGGCTCAATATAACTCATAGGTGAATAAAATAGCGTGGAAGAAGTTTTATTTTGCGGTCATATGATATATACTTATTAGTGTTTATTATTATTATTTATTTGGTTTGTATACACTTATTTAGTTAGTCTTTTAGATACGTATGTATGTACGTACGTACGTACGTACATACATGTAATGCCCAGAGATTCCAATTTTGCAGATCTCATCAAAATTAAACGAAGACTAGTCTATTTGTAGAAAATTTAGCATAGTCATAGAATAGTGTTTGTTAGGGATGTTAATCGGTCCTCAGGGATCGAGTCCCAACCGATCCTGACCGATCCTTAAAAGTATTTGTGAGGATTCGATCCCTAAATCACATGATAGCTCATTATGAACCAGATCCTGGGACCCGGTCCCTTTTATAAATGCTAGGACCCGCTTTCGCTAGATGTTAGAAGAGTTTTTTGACAAAAAACGCTTGCCTTGGGCAAGTGTTTTTTTTTTGAAGGCGTATGCCTCTAGTGTTGAAGTAATTTACAATCCCAATTCAATATATAACTAAGAATTAAGTTAATAATAGGTAACCTTCTCCGGATTCAAATATATAATTAGAGGTAAGTAAAATTATAAAAGTTAAATTATTGAGTATTCAATGACAAAAGAAGGTACCATCTCCCTTGCTAGTGACAAAGACAAAATGCCTTAAAGAAGGTACTATCTCCCTTGCTTTTAGTGAACTCCCTAAAAAAGTTATTCATCTTTGGCTTTGAATATGAAGGTGAATTAAGTTTGTTTAAATTATTTAGTATGAACAATTAAAGAATATAATTACACTTGTTAACTATCTTTGGATTTGAATATATAATAAAGGTGAATTAAGCTTATTAAAGTTAAATAATTTAGTATTAAATAATTAAAGTACCTTACACTTATTGGCCATCTTTGTATTAAAATAGCTTAAATGAACAAAAATTTAGTCAATAATAAAGGCAAGATGCTATTTATCTAATAATAAAAGTGTTGTCTAAAACAAATCATCCAGTTTTGATAGTAATAAAGGTGAAAATTGTTGTCAATAGTAAAAGTAACATAGTATTTTACTTGTAAATCACAAAAACCATTTTTGTTTTAAGACAAACTATCCTGTTCGATAGAACAATGGCAGTACACTTTAAAAAAACTAACCATTTTTCAAACAGAATTGTTAGTAAAGATGATATCATCTTAGCAAACAAAAAGTTGTATACTTTAATTTAACAATGTGTTGTAAAAGTTATTTAAAGTTTTCCTTTTCCTTCTAAAAAAAAAAAATAATAAAAATAGAAACAAACGAATTTGAATCTATTAATGAACCTGAAATTACTAAAGCAAATCAATTTAATTTGAATTTATTGATAAAGAAACTTTTAGTAAAGAACCTTTTGCAAGTAACAAATTCTTGTCCTTGTCACCAGATAATACAAATGAACTACCAAAAAAAGTCTCATCCACACATAACTGAGCACCTGTCTGAAATTACCTCTTACCAACCTCTAATAAAGGTAAAAGATGTAAATTATGTAAACAACCATTTGGCAACCTAACCGCAATATCGACTATTAACTGACATTTCTAAAATTTTTATCTCTCAGAATTTACTAAAATCAAACAATGTAGATTTCAATGACTTGACCCTTATAGTCCAAATGAAAAATATAAAGTAGATATTTTAAATAATAAACTCTTAAGATAGGTGGTCGTTGACTAACAATCATTTTTATTAGCTGAAAATCCAGAATTTATTAATTTTTTACAAGAACTTGATCCTCGTTACAAACTTCCATGCTGCCAAACACTCTCGACTTGGGTTGGTCAAAAGTTTATTAAAAATAAAAATAAAATAAAATAGTTTTTAAATACAATTTTATCTAAAATTTCAATTACAATAGATAGTTGGATCTTGTATACTCAACAACTATACATTGGTGTAACAGCGCACTGGATCGATTCCAAATAGAAAATGCATTGTATCTTATTAGATATTATTTCATTTAATCAAACCCATATAGCAATAAATCAAAGTGATGCGATCATTGAACTCTTAAAAGAAATGAACATTGGTTACAAACTTTTGGGAATCACGACAGACAATGCCACAAACATGATTGCAATGGGATGTGTTTTAAAAAAAAAATGTGCGAGTTTAATAATAAAACTCTACAACATTTTCAGTGTAGTGCACACATTCTTAATATTATTGTTGAAAAAGGAATTAAATCAATTATTAATGAAAATTCCAAAGCACGGGAGTTCTCTATGAAGCTTCGAAACTCTCCATTACTAATTCGAGAGTTAAAACAAATTTTTGAACTAAAAAAAACTTTCATTTTTAATGCCTGAAACTGATGTGGATACTAGATGGAATAGTATATTTATTATGCTAGAGAAACTTCAACAAATCTGCCCCATTACTGATATTCTTGTAGCGGGCAACCAAATATTAAAACCAATTTATCCTAATAAGCAAGAATGGCAATTTATTGTTGTTAGTAATTTTAAATTATTTTTTATTTTTTAAATACACTTTATTTTAATAAAAACGTGAATTAAGGACCTGTTAATTCTTCTTGAGCCTATGTATTATGCAACCGTAATACTATCTTCATCAATAGTTCCTACCTAAGGTGACTTGCACATAATATTCTGTAGTCTTATTATACACTTGGATAATAATGAAAACCTGGTGATTAATACACAACATATTTAGCTCATGCAATAAGAATAAAATTTACATTGTACTGGGTCTACTTAAATGAATCATCAGCAATTTTGGGCCTTCTTGATCTATGTAACAAACTTTTAACCTATGAAATTAGTGAATGTGAGCAAGCTATTAATCAGCTTCATAAAATATACAAAAGTTATAAACCAGCCAAAAAAATAAATCACCATCACCATCTACTACCACTACTGCTAAATCAACACAAGAACTTTTTCACAACCTTACAAACTGCCATCAAGTCAATTTGAACTAGTGTGAAATTAACAAATACTTAAACGAACCTGAAACTGAAGCAGATCCACTTTTATAGTGAAAAGCAAATTCTAAACAATTCCCAACTTTCTCTCAGGTTGCAATGGACTTTCTACTATACAAGCCATGAGTGTACCAAGTGAACAGGCCTTCTCTATTGCAAAACATACAATAAGTCTCACCCGAAATCGTATAAATCCTGAAGTAGCGCATTGTGAATGACCCCCGAGCGTTCACATTATTTTTTTCTTCCCTTTCATACTATGTAATTGATAAGTTATACATATTAGTATCTAGTTTTTAACTTATTTTGGTAAAACCCACCAGTTACTTAAAATAAAACTGTACATATGTACATTTCGAATATATGTATAATTTGAACATATATACATTTTGTATATATGT